TCAGTAAGACGACTATGTTTTAAAATTCAAAAGCTTATGTTTTGTTTATTCTACATTCCTAGAGTAAGAATGGTAGGTTGATTTGAATTCAAAAGGGAAAAGACATTTGTTTTTTGAAGCCAAAAGAGAACACATACAAGTTACTAAAAGTAAGTTAGCTCCTCTTCAACGAAGATCAGTATTAGACGACCTTGTTTTGAGCTTAAAAAGTCTAAAAACTCTTGTCTATTCCACATTCCAAGAGCAAGAATAAGATGTTGGGCTGAATTTAAAAGGAGAATGATAAATTTTTGAATAACTTTTTGGTCAATCATTTCTGAACTTACTAAGACGGTATTACTGAAAGGAAAATATTTGAAAAATATTTTTTTTTTCTTAAACGACGCTCATTTCCTTTCCACACTCTTAAAAGAAGAACCACAAATGTCAAATTTTGTGTTGGCTTATTGAAACCAAAAGAGAACATGTTCGAGTTGCCAAGACAGCCATGTTTTGAGTTTGAAAAGCTTCTTTGTTTTCCATTATACATTCCTAGAGCAAGAATGAGATGTTGATTTGAATTTGAAAGGGAAATGGTACATTTTTGGACGATGTTTCAGTCAATTATTTGAAAAAAACATTTAAAAAACAATTTGAGGAGCATTACTTGATATCTAACGACACTCAGTTCCATTCCACATTCTTAACAGAAGAACCACAAATGTCAAACTATGTGTTGTAGTATTTAGCATTCAGTATCTCTCAACTAAGGCGGTGTCACACTTGAAAAGAGGAATGATGCCAATGAAGTGATTTTGTTCCTTTAACAAATAAGTTCATAGTTAGTAAGAGTGAGTAAGCTGCTCGTCAACGAAGACCAGTGTAAGACGACCTTGTTTTGGCCATTTTATATTCCTAGAGAAAGAATGACTGAGGGAACATGATATGAAAATGGTTACATGTTTTTACTATAAACACAAGTTTAGATTAAGATGTGATTATGAATTTTCTAGCCGAATTAAAAAAATTACGTTGCTCTTTTGACCGTTCACCGTGCAATTCAAAAGCGTTTAGGCAAAAGTGGAATCAGTGATTCAGATGCAAAACAAGTTATTAAAAACTATTTACGCGCTTGAAAATACTGATCACCAAGCCACATAAATTTGCGCATATTAGTTTTCCATTGCTTTTACTTTACATTTGGTACCTCGATATGGCTTAAAAGAGAAAAAATTAAAATTTCTTGTTCAAAAAAACCTATCAAAATTTCTCAAACTCATTAATAATTAAAATGCAAAAAAATTGTTCAACGTGATTTGAAAGTTTTAATTTGACTTTCAAATTTTTTGCTTGAAAAGTTTACGATAAGAATTTTAATTTCGTTATAAGTACTCCTGTACGAGTAGTTTTCTTTTTCAGTGACTTACTCTCCGTGTTTGATATGAGATAAAACATTGAGTCTAAATCTCGGTTTGTGATGTTGTTGCTCAATTTGAATTTCTGGTGCGATTTTTTCGTGTGCTTGACGATGACATTTGATTTACATACATGTGTTGTCTGTTGCTCTAAAATTCGTAGTGAAATCATTTTGTATAACGAAAAAATAGATATAATTTATTTACAAACTTTACGAATGTAATAAATAAGGGAAACCAAAATTGTTTAGCTTTTGAAGAATTTCGTAAATTCATTTCTTTGTCAGTTTTTGACGGACTTGTTGAAAGCATGTTATTGTGGTCTTCATTTTAAATACCAAATAACAATTTTACTCAATTTAAACAAAAATTTGATGAGTAATTATAACGAGACTTTGGGTTTTATGTTGGATCATTGTTAACATGACAAGAAAAATCTAGCTAGTGTAAAGCAAACCGAAGAGGACTTTAAACGGCAACATGGCAGGTTATAAGTCTGAAAAATATAATAGAATTAAAGGATTGTTTTTGTCAAAACTTAAATAGCACTAAGAAGGGGAGGGAAAAAAATCAAAAAGCGATAGACTTTCGCCAACTTAAACTTTTTATTTATTTTTTTTGAGAAACAATTCCTTTGGTTTAAGACTTTTAAATCGATTTCCGTTTTTGCTCTTTCAAATGATTTATAGCTTGCCGTTTTTGCCTTTAACCGCCTTGAGGCCAAGTAATACCAGCAGTATTTTCCTGTAACTAGTCGCGTACAAGGTTTCGTTGCAAGGCGAGATACAGTTTATTGCGTGTTTTACTTTCTACTTGTTCGGTAAATTTTTGTCTTGCGAGAGGTAGAAGATACTTCTCCTGTTTGCAACATAAATGTTTCCTGAGCAGATAGAAAGTAATATGCGCAACAAATTGTATTTCACCTTGCAACGTAACCTTGTGCGCGAGTAGTTGCAGGAAAATATTGCTCGTATTACTTGGCCTTACTAAAAACTTAATACTCAAACTTGTGCAAAAAGTTTGCTAAAGAAACTTAGAAAATGTTTTTACGGTGGAAAAATTCAAGGTAAACTCTCTCAATTTTTGCCACAAAAATATTGTAAGGGGAAACGCTGTGCAAATTTGCTCAGATTTTCCCGCCAAAAGACTTAGTATATTTTTGAAAAATTTTTCTCGACACCTTTTTAATGAAAATTACTTAACTAATTAAAGAAATAAAACATTACTCAAGTAGACAAAGTGTTGTTTGCTTTATTGTATTAGAAATAATTACTACAGGAAAAACTTAGAGAAAACAACGAAGTATTTATAACTTTTATTAGTGAAAGAAATAAAAGATGAAAACAACTTGAAAAAATATTGTTTATTTTTCTTAATAGTAATAGTTAAAGTAAATAAACTTTAATTTTTAAAAAAAAATACGACGCATGCGCCGAGGGCGCGCCGTATTTTTTCTAAGTCTCTTGGAGCCACATTCCAATCATATTTTCGTGAAGACAAGAAATTAACATAAAAATTTACCTCGACAACTCTAAAATTTTCAGAAGAGAAATTACGCAGAATAACTTACTAAGGAGTCGTCTTTGAGCAAACGTAAATATAGCTTGTTCCTGAATTTGATATCTTAGTGGCTTCTTGAAAAAAAAATAAAGAAGGTCTGAATGGAGAATTTTGAAATATTTGTACACTGTGAATATTTGACGCGCGAGTAACCAAAAACCTAGACTTAAACTTCCGCAAAGGCAGAAAAACATACGATGCTACAGAGAAGAGCGTCTAAAACTAAGAACTGTTGTGAATTTGAACATATTACTCGTGCAGAAGCAATGCAGCAGAGACCGTTAATTTTGTTCAGATGTTTATATGGTAATAAAAATAACTGCAATTTCCTTCCATCACGATGCAAACAACACCAAATTAACCACGCTAAATCTCCACTTTCAACGCTCTTTTCTGCCGCATTGAATGTTCGTCTGTCGCAACAGGAATTCAAATCCAGCAGTGAAAATTAATACCCTATCGCCTGATTTTCAGAGAAATTGCTTACGACGTTTTCAATAATGTCACGACCACTGCATGATTACCAATTTAATCCGGTGTTTGATGTTTGTCAATCCAAACAAAGCCGGCAATAATCCGTTATTGATTTTGTGGCATTGATTCTGGCCTATAGTGTAAATCAATGTTCCTACAAACTTTTTTTGTAAAAGATGCAGTTTTTTAGAACATAGTTTAAACACATAATTAGAATTTGGCCTAGTGTGCAGCGGCTTTTAGTAAGATTTGCATACACGGCAGATCACTAAGGTCATGAATTCTCACGTGAAGCGGGACTTGGAAATTTAGGTGACTCCATAGAGTTTTTCAGGGTCAATACATCCCGAGTTTGAGCATAAACTACGTCGCTATTAACAAAGATTTGGAAAGATTGTCATCACCGTTGTATTAGATAAAGATGAAAATTTGTTATGATTACGGTTACAATGACATCAGAGTTATCATAGCAACGAAATGACACCATTACCGATTTTATTTGCAGCAGTATTTCTCGGCACTGGGAACTGTTCTTCCAAAATCGTTCACGGTCAAAGGTCTCCTGAAACGACGCTTAATCTGGAGAATCTCAAATTTTTAAAAAATCTATCGAGCGGTTTAATATTTGTTAAAATAGCCCAAAATGCCGGTTTACTACAAAATCGCTAACAAGAGCGCCTTGCATACTTACCAAATCCTTCCTTCCAGCAATCGGCTCAACTTATTTCTATTATCTTTCACACACGTTTTAAAAAAGATTGAAACTACTATGAGGTGAAAAAAAAGCGCGTCGTTTTCTACAAATAACGGCCGAACCTCAAGATTGTCCAGTTTTTACCGTATTATTGTTAACCATGAAAACTTCATCCTAAAATACCTCGATAACACTTTCAAATTTCTCTTAAACTTCACGAATATCGAGGCGGCTACTGGAGGAAAAAGCACCTCTGAACGATTTTGGAAGAACAGTTCCAAGCGCCGAGAAATACGGCTACTAATACGGCTACGTCTACTTTGCAGAACAAACGTTTTTTTGAATTTGAAATATTTTTGGTGAAAATCTTATGGAAATCATAACAGGAAATCTATTTTTTATCGGGCTTCTGCTTTTAAGTGAAGCTATTGATCCTTTTACTGGTTCCGATCTTGTTTGTTTGTTTGTTTCTTCCTTCTGATGGGCATGTGGACTTCGAAACAGAATTCTTTACACCATTTTATTTGGATACTCAATTTGGAAAAACGTTTTTGATCATCTCTAATTTTTTCGGGGTTCTTAAGAAACTCATCATTTTGGGGACATCATATCAGAATTTGTAAAAAAACCCAGCTGTAACACCTTTTCTTTGATTGACATCCATTGAATTTAGCCTTAAAATAAAGTGCAGGTCGCATAAGATTGACAACTGCTATAAGCTTTCACCGAGAGAATCAGTAACGTATCCATTCAGACCTTCTTTAGCACCTCCCCTATTTGTTCGAGAAAAAAGTTTAAATATTACGCTTGCTACCTTTACTCTCAAGAGGTTCCTCCATCAACTCTTCCTCTTAATCTGATCTGTATTGAAGCTCTTTGATCTTCCTGTGTGATCCTTGCTCTGCGCTGCCTGGCTCCTCCCTTGCTTTATTGTACCATCTAAGCATCAAATTCGCTCAACTTTCTGCAAGGAAATCAGAAAAAAAAATTGGTTGTTCGCGTTAGCTGTTTTTGGATTATCACATGCTGAAAAAGCAGACACAGGGTCGTATTTGATATGAAAAAAAAACGAACTTCTATGTGGTTTGTTCGGTCTTCCTAGCTGTTTTCAAGGTCGAACTTTTCAGTGGAAGCAGCAAGGGCTAGATCTTCGATATTTTGCAAAACAATATCTTCTTCTGTAAAACAACAGCACCAGATGAGTCCAAAGCTGTACTTTGTAGCTGTTTGCAGTACTTGTCATGGTACTGAAGAGAGTATGAAGACATGAGGAGAGGAGGATGACCTCTCCTTAACGCCGTCCGTAGTAGGTGCAACTTGAGAGTGGAGTTCAAAATGGTGTTTTCGGCCTGAGGCCAACTAATGCACCACGAGAGCGAGGAAAAGTGTTTCACACTGGTTCGTGGTTCTCAGATATCTGTGCCAACTTGATAGCGTCGATTAAGTTTCCAGTAGACCATAATTCGTCTTTTGGTTTGTTTGTAATTCAGCTTTCTAGCAAGAAAGTCATTGGAAGCCATCATGCTGTATGTAGAATACGCAATATTCTGAGCAGAGTCCAAGTCAATGATATCGTTCGTTAGTAATTGGTGCTCAGTAATTTGATCGTTGGAATAGCAATTCCTTGGTTTGTGCGGTTGCAGTCCAGCTGTATTCCCCTCGTTGAAGTTCGTGTAATCGTTCCTTTATGAAAATTACTTCCGTGTTGAAAATGAGACAAAGGTAGTCGGTCGCTACGCGTGGGGTCGAGTAATCGTCGGCACCAGTCGGATGGAGTAATAGCCGTTATGAGTCGACTCGAGTCATCTTCGGTTGCAGTCGGATGGGAGTAATCGTTGGCACGAGTCGGGTCGAGTCATCTTCGGCAGCAGTCGGATGAAGTTGAATTAGCTGTTAGTAAGGCATAGTGCAGAGTCGTGGTTCCTTTTTAATACAACGCCGCGTGTTGTCAAGTGCTTGTTCCTCAATGTTTTTAACAACTTATCTTTTATAATGCTGAACGGAACATAAGAGCCGTTATCTGTACCCTGCAACTGTTTGAACTGTTTGCCGTTAAAACGTAGCAGTCTAGAGCGTGCCAGGTTTAAAAGATATTTGTTTGTAGTCACCATAGACAATCAGTCCAAAGGTACTTAGTTTGAGAGCAGTGGACTTAAACCTTAAGACGCATTACAATCAGAGCTCCTGGTAGTACCCATGGTTGCAGAATACACACCTCAGTTAGCTGTGACGTCGAAGAATGCAACAGTCTTCTTCAGAGTATGCGTCGGTTCTGGTTAACATTATTCGCCGTCTGTTTGTTTGTCACTAAAAAGTGGTATTGAGCACTACTTATAAGCAGGCAATCGAGACAATCAACCCACCGTCTCAGCGGTCACTTCAGAAATTCTTGTTACCAATTGATACAAGGGTCACAAGGGAAACAAGGGGTACCAAGGGGTAACAAGAAAAAAAGGGGTAAAACGGGGAAAAAAAGTAACAAGGGGTAAAGAGGGAAACAACACGTAACAAAGGTAACAAAGAATAAAAAGGGGTAACAAGAGGAACAAGGGGTAACAGGGGTAACAAGGGTAATAAGGGTAACAAGGGGTAACAAGGGTAACAAGGGTAACAAAGGGGTAACAAGGGTAACAAGGGGTGACAAGGGTAACAACGGTAAAAAGGGGTAACAAGGGTAAGAAAGTGTAACAAGGGTAACAAGGGCAAAATGGGGTAAAAAGGGTAACAGGGGGTAACAAGGGTAACAAGGGGTAAAAAGGGGTAACAAGGGTAAGAAGGGGTAACAAGGCTAACAAGGGTAACAAGCGGTAACAAGGGTAACAAGCGGTAACAAGAGGTAACAAGGGTAACAAGGGGGAACAAGAAGTAACAAGAGGGTAACAAGTGGTAACAAAGGGTAAAAAGGGGTAAAAAGGGTAAAAAGGAATGACAAGGGTAAAAAGGAGAACCAAGGTTAAAAAGAGGTAACAAGGGTACAAAGGGGTAAAATAAGTAACAAGGGTAAAAAGAGGTAACTAGGGGTAACAAGCGTAACAAGGGATAACAAGGGGTAACAAGCGTATCCAAAGGTAACAAGGATAACAAAGGGTAACAAAGGTAACAAACGGTAAAAAGGGGTAACAAGAAAAAAAAAGCGGGAAAAGGGGTAACAAGGGGGAAAAGGGTAAGAAAGGTAACAAGGGGTAACAAGGGTAATAAGAGTAACAAAGGGTAACAAGGGTAACAAGGGGTAACAAGGATACCAAGGGGTAACAAGGCTAACAAGGGTAACAAGGGGTAAAAACGGTAACAAGGGGTAACAAAGGGTAATAACGGTAACAAGGGGTAACAACGGGTAACAAGGGTAACAACGGGTAACCAGGGTGACAAAGGAAACAAGGGGTACCAAGGGTAACAAGAGTAACAAGGAGTAACAAGGGGTAACAAGGGAAAAAAGGGTAACAACGGGTAACAAGGGTAACAAGGGGTAACAACGGTAACAAGAGGTATCAAGGTTAAAAAGGGGTAAAAACGGATAAAACGGGTAACAAGGGGTAACAAAGGTTAACAACGGTAACAACGGTTACAAGGGGTAACAAGCTAGAAAAGGGGTAACAAGGGTCACAAGGGGTAACAGGGGTAATAAGGGTAACAAGGGGTAACAAGGGTTAAAAGAGGTAACAAGCTTAAACAGGGGTAACAAGGGTAGCAAGGAGCAAATGGGGTAATAAGGGTAACAAGGAGAAACAAGGGGTACAAGGGTAACACGGGGTAACAAGGGTAAAAAGGGGTAACAAGGGGTAACAAGGGCAACAAGGGTAACAAGGGCAACAAGGGTAACAAGGGAAACAAGGGTAACAAGGGGTAACAAGAAAAAAAAGGGGTAACAAGGGGTAACAAGGGTAACAAGAGGTACTAAGGGTAACAAAGGTAACAAGGGATAATGAGAATAAGAAGGGGTAACAAGGGTAATAAGGGGTAACAAGGGTAAAAGAGGTAACAAGAGGTAACAAGGGTAACAACGGGTAACAAGGAGAACAAAGGTAACAAGGGGTAACAAGGGTAAGAACAAATAACTAGGGTAACAAGGGGTAACAAGGGTAACAAGGGCTAAATGGGAGTAACAAGGCGTAACAAGGGTAACAAGGAGAAAAAAGGGTAACAAGGGGTGACAAGGGTTACAAGGGGTAACAAGGTTAAAAAGGGGTAACAAGAGTAACAAGGGGTAACAGGGGTAACAACGGTAATAAGGGTAACAAGGGGTAACAAGGGTAAAAAGGGTAACAAGGGGTAACAAGGGTAACAAGGGGTGACAAGGGTAACAAGGGTAACAAGGGGTAACAAGGGTAAGAACGTGTAACAAGGGTAACAAGGGCAACATGGGGTAAAAAGGGTAAATGGGGGTAACAAGGGTAACGAGGGTAAGAAGGGGTAACAAGGCTAACAATAACAAGAGGTAACAAGGGTAAGAAGGTTAAAAAGGGGCAACAATGGTAACTAGGGGTAACAGGGGTACCAAAAGTAAGAAGGGGTAACAACGGTAACAAGAATAACAAGGGTAACCAGGGGTAAGAAGGGTAAGAAAGGGTAACAAGGGTAATAAGGGGTGATAAGGGTTACAAGAGGTAACAAGGTGTAAAAGGGGTTACAAGGGTAACAAGCGGTTACAGGGGTAACAAGGGGTAACAAAGGGTGAAAAGGGTAACAAGAGTAACAACGAGTAACAAGGGGTAACAAGGGTAAAAGGGGTAACAAGGATAACAAAGGTAACTAGGGAAAAAAAGGGTAACAGGGGTAACAAGGGGTAACAAGGGGTAACAGGGCTACCAAGGGTAACAAGGGTAACAAGGGGTAACAACGGGTAACAAGGGGTAACAAGGGGTAACAAGGGGTAACAAGGGTAACAAGGGGTAACAAGGCTAACAAAGGTAACCAGGGGTCACAAGGTGTAACAAGGGGTAACAAGGAAACAAGGGGTTACAAATTTAAGAAGGGGTAACAAGGGTAACAAGGGGTAACAAAGGTAACAAGGGGTAACAAGGGTAAGAAGGGGTAACAAAGGTAACAAGGGGTAACAAGGGCATTAAGCGGTAACGAGGGTAACAAGGGTTAAAAGGGGCAACAAAGGTAACAAAGGTAACAAAGGGTAACAAGGGTAACAAGGGGTAACAAGGGTAACAAGGGGTAACAAAGGTAACAAGGGTAAGAAGGGGTAACAAGGGTAACAAGGGGTTACAAGGGTAAAAAAAATAACAAGGGGTAACAAGGGTAACTAGGGGTAACAAGGGTAATAAGGGGTAACAAGGGGTAACAAGGCGTAACAAGGGTAACAAAGGGTAACAAGGGTAACAAGGGGTAACAAGGGGTAACAAGGGTAACAAGGGGAACAAGGGTAACAAGGGTAACAAGGGTAAGAAGGGGTAACAAGGGTAACAAAGGTAACAAGGGTAACAAGGGATAACAAGGGTAACAAGGGGTAACAAGGGTAACAAGGGTAAGAAGGGGTAACAAGGGTAACAAGGGGTAACAAAAGTAAAAAAGGTAACAAGGGGTAACAAGGGTAAGAATGGGTAACAAGGGTAACCAGGGGTAAAAATGGGAAACAAGGGTAACCAGGGGTAACAAGGGTAACAAAAGTAACAAGGGTAACAAGGGGTAACAAGGGGTAACAAGGGTAACGAAGGTAACAAGGGTAACAAGGGTAACAAGGGTAACTAGGGGTAAAAGGGGTAACAAGGGGTAACAAGGGGTAAAAAGGGGTAAAAAGGGTAACAAGGGGTGACAAGGGTAACAAGGGGCAACAAGGGGTAACAAGGGTAGGAAGGGGTAACAAGGGTAACAAGGGTAATAAGGGGTAACAAGGGGTAAAAAGGGTAACAAGGGGTGACAAGGGTAGGAAGGGGTAACAAGGGTAGGAAGGGGTAACAAGGGTAACAAGGGTAACAAGGGGTAAAAGGGGTAACAAGGGGTAACAAGGGGTAAAAAGGGTAACAAGGGGTGACAAGGGTAGGAAGGGGTAACAAGGGTAACAAGGGTAAGAAGGGGTAACAAGGGTAAGAAGGGGTAACAAGGGGTAACAAGGGTAACGAGGGTAACAGGGGTAACAAGGGGTAACAAGGGGTAACAAGGGTAACAAGGGGTAACAAGGGTAACAAGGGTAACAAGGGTAACAAGGGTAACAAGGGTAACAAAGGTAACAAGGGGTAACAAGGGGTAAAAAAAGGTAAGAAAGATAACAAGGGGTAACAATGGGTAACAAGGGTAACAAGGGGTAACAAGGTTAAGAAGGGGTAACAAGGGTAACAAGGGGTAACAAAGGTAACAAGGGGTAACAAGGGTAAAAAGGGGTAACAAGGGGTAACAAGGGTAACAAGGGGTAACAAGGGGTAACAAGGGGTAACAAGGGTAACAAGGGGTAACAAGGGGTAACAAGGGTAACAAGGGGTAACAAGGGGTAACAAGGGGTAACAAGGGGTAAGGGGTAAAAGGGTAACAAGGGGTAACAAGGGGTAACAAGGGTAACAAGGGGTAACAAGGGTAACAAGGGGTAACAAAGGGTAACAAGGGGTAACAAGGGGTAACAAGGGTAACAAGGGGTAACAAGGGGTAACAAGGGGTAACAAGGGGTAACAAGGGTAACAAGGGTAACAAGGGTAACAAAGGGTAACAAGGGGTAACAAGGGTAACAAGGGGTAAACAAGGGTAACAAGGGGAAACAAGGGGTAAAAAGGGTAACAAGGGGTAACAAGGGTAACAAGGGTAAAAAGGGTAACAAGGGGTAACAAGGGGTAACAAGGGTAACAAGGGGTAACAAGGGTAACAAGGGGTAACAAGGGGTAACAAGGGTAACAAAGGGTAACAAGGGTAACAAGGGTAACAAAGGGTAACAAGGGTAACAAGGGGTAACAAGGGTAACAAGGGGTAACAAGGGTAACAAGGGTAACAAGGGGTAACAAGGGGTAACAAGGGTAAAAGGGTAACAAGGGTAACAAGGGGTAACAAAGGGTAACAAGGGTAACAAGGGGTAACAAGGGTAACAAGGGTAACAAGGGGTAACAAGTGGTAACAAGGGTAACAAGGGGTAACAAAGGGGTAAAAAGGGTAACAAGAGGGGGTAACAAGGGTAACAAGGGTAACAAAAAGGGTAACAAGGGTAACAAGGGTAACAAGGGGTAACAAGGGGTAACAAGGGTAACAAGGGGATAACAAGGGTAACAAGGGTAACAAGGGTAACAAGGGTAACAAGGGTAACAAGGGGTAACAAGGGTAACAAGGGTAACAAGGGGTAACAAGGGTAACAAGGGGTAACAAGGGTAACAAGGGTAACAAGGGGTAACAAAGGTAAAAAGGGGTAACAAGGGTAACAAGGGTAACAAGGGGTAACAAGGGTAACAAGGGGTAACAAGGGGTAACAAGGGGTAACAAGGGGCAACAAGGGGTAACAAGGGGTAACAAGGGTAACAAGGGGTAACAAGGGTAACAAGGGTAACAAGGGTAACAAGGAAGGTAACAAGGGTAACAAGGGGTAACAAGGGTAACAAGGGTAACAAGGGTAACAAGGGGTAACAAAGGGTAACAAGGGGTAACAAGGGTAACAAGGGTAACAAGGGGTAACAAGGGTAACAAGGGGTAACAAAGGGTAACAAGGGTAACAAGGGTAACAAGGGTAACAAGGGTAACAAGGGTAACAAGGGGTAAAAAGGGTAACAAGGGGTAACAAGGGTAACAAGGGGTAACAAGGGTAACAAGGGTAACAAGGGGTAACAAGGGTAACAAGGGTAACAAGGGTAACAAGGGTAACAAGGGGTAAAAAGGGGAAACAAGGGGAAAAAGGGGAAAAAGGGTAAAAAGGGTAACAAGGGTAAAAAGGGTAAAAAAGGGGAACAAGGGTAAAGAAGGGGTAACAAAGGGTAACAAAGGGGTAACAAGGGGTAACAAGGGTAAATAAGGGGTAACAAAGGGGTAACAAGGGGTAACAAAGGGTAACAAAGGGTAACAAGGGGTAACAAGGGTAACAAGGGTAAAGGGTAACAAGGGTATAGAAGGGTAAAAAGGGGTAACAAGGGTAACAAGGGGTAAAAAGGGTAACAAGGGGTAACAAGGGTAAAAAGGGGTAACAAGAGTTAGCAAGGGTTAGCAAGGGTAACAAGGCGTAAAAAGGGTAGAAAGGGATAACAAGAGTAACAAGGGATAACAAGGGTAAAAAGGGTAACAAGAGCTAACAAGGGTAACAAGCGGTAACAAAGGGTAACAAAGGTAACAAGGGGTAACAAGGGTAACAAGGGGTAACAAGGGGTAACAAGGGTAACAAAAGGTAACAAGGGGTAACAAGGGTAACAAGGGGAACAAAGGGTAACAAGGGGTAACAAGGGGTAACAAGGGTAACAAGGGGTAACAAGGGTAACAAGGGGTAACAAGGGTAACAAGGGGTAACAAGGGGTAACAGGGGTAACAAGGGTAACAAGGGGTAACAAGGGTAACAAGGGTAACAAGGGGTAACAGGGGTAACAAGGGGTAACAAGGGGTAACAAGGGTAACAAACAAGGGTAACAAGGGGTAACAAGGGTAACAAGGGGTAACAAGGGGTAACAAGGGTAACAAGGGGTAACAAGGGGTAACAAGGGTAACAAGGGGTAACAAGGGTAACAAGGGGTAAAAAGGGGAAAAAGGGGTAACAAGGGGTAAAAAAAGGGTAAAAAGGGGTAACAAGGGTAACAAGGGGTAACAAGGGTAACAAGGGGTAACAAGGGTAACAAGGGGTAACAAGGGTAACAAGGGTAACAAGGGTAACAAGGGGTAACAAGGGTAACAAGGGGTAACAAGGGGTAACAAGGGTAACAAGGGTAACAAGGGGTAACAAGGGGTAACAAGGGTAACAAGGGTAACAAGGGTAACAAGGGTAACAAGGGTAACAAGGGGTAACAAGGGTAACAAGGGTAACAAGGGTAACAAGGGGTACAAGGGGTAACAAAAAGGGTAACAAAAGGGTAAAAAGGGGTAACAAGGGTAACAAGGGGTAACAAGGGTAACAAGGGGTAACAAGGGGTAACAAGGGGTAACAAAAGGTAACAAGGGGTAACAAAGGCAACAAGGGGCAACAAGGGTAACAAGGGGCAACAAGGGGTAACAAGGGTAACAAGGGGTAACAAGGGGTAACAAAAGGGTAACAAAGGGTAACAAGGGTAACAAGGGTAACAAAGGGGTAACAAAGGTAACAAGGGTAACAAGGGTAACAAGGGTAACAAAAGGTAACAAGGGTAACAAAGGGTAACAAGGGTAACAAGGGGTAACAAGGGTAACAAGGGGTAACAAGGGTAACAAGGGTAACAAGGGGTAACAAGGGGCAACAAAAGGTAAAAAAGGGGTAACAAGGGTAACAAGGGGTAACAAGGGTAACAAGGGTAACAAGGGTAACAAGGGTAACAAAAGGTAAAAGGGTAAAAGGGGGTAACAAAAGGTAACAAGGGGTAACAAAGGGTAACAAGGGTAAACAAGGGTAACAAGGGTAACAAGGGGTAACAAGGGGTAACAAAGGTAACAAGGGGTAACAAGGGGTAACAAGGGGTAAAAAAGGGTAAACAAGGGTAACAAGGGGGGGGGTATAAGGGTAACAAGGGTAAAAAGGGTAACAATGGTAACAAGGGTAACAAGGGGTAACAAAGGGTAAAAAGGGTAACAAGGGTAACAAAGGGTAACAAGGGGTAACAAGGGTAACAAGGGTAACAAGGGGTAACAAGGGGTAACAAAGGGTAAGAAGGGTAACAAGGGCAAGAAAGGGTAACAAGGGGTAACAAGGGTAACAAGGGGCAACAAGGGGTAACAAGGGGTAACAAGGGTAACAAGGGGAAACAAGGGTAACAAGGGTAACAAGGGGTAACAAGGGGTAACAAGGGGTAACAAGGGGTAACAAGGGTAACAAGGGTAACAAGGGGTAACAAGGGGTAACAAGGGTAACAAGGGTAACAAGGGGTAACAAGGGGTAACAAGGGTAACAAGGGGTAACAAAGGGTAACAAGGGGTAACAAGGGTAATAAGGGTAACAAGGGGTAACAAGGGTAAAAAGGGGTAACAAGGGTAACAAAGGTAACAAAAGGTAACAAAGGGTAACAACAAGGTAAACAAGGGTAACAAGGGTAACAAGGGGTAACAAGGGTAACAAGGGTAACAAGGGTAACAAGGGTAACAAAGGTAACAAGGGTAACAAGGGTAACAAGGGTAACAAAGGGTAACAAAGGTAACAAGGGGTAACAAGGGGTAACAAGGGTAACAAGGGGTAACAAGGGTAACAAGGGTAACAAGGGGTAACAAGGGTAACAAGGGTAACAAGGGTAACAAGGGTAACAAGGGGTAACAAGGGGTAACAAGGGTAACAAGGGTAACAAGGGTAACAAGGGGTAACAAGGGTAACAAGGGGTAACAAGGGTAACAAGGGTAACAAGGGTAACAAAGGGTAACAAGGGTAACAAGGGTAACAAGGGGTAACAAGGGTAACAAGGGGTAACAAAGGTAACAAGGGGTAACAAGGGTAACAAGGGGTAACAAGGGTAACAAGGGGTAACAAGGGGTAACAAGGGTAACAAGGGTAACAAGGGTAACAAGGGGTAACAAGGGGTAACAAGGGGTAACAAGGGTAACAAGGGTAACAAGGGGTAACAAGGGTAACAAGGGTAACAAGGGTAACAAGGGTAACAAGGGGTAACAAGGGTAACAAGGGTAACAAGGGTAACAAGGGTAACAAGGGGTAACAAGGGTAACAAGGGGTAACAAGGGTAACAAGGGTAACAAGGGGTAACAAGGGTAACAAGGGGTAACAAGGGTAACAAGGGTAACAAGGGGTAACAAAAGGTAACAAGGGTAACAAGGGGTAACAAGGGTAACAAGGGGTAACAAGGGTAACAAGGGTAAGTAACAAGGGTAACAAGGGGTAACAAGGGTAACAAGGGTAACAAGGGGTAACAAGGGTAACAAGGGGTAACAAGGGTAACAAGGGTAACAAGGGTAACAAGGGTAACAAGGGTAACAAGGGTAACAAGGGGTAACAAGGGTAACAAGGGTAACAAGGGGTAACAAGGGTAACAAGGGGTAACAAGGGGTAACAAGGGTAACAAGGGTAACAAGGGGTAACAAGGGGTAACAAGGGTAACAAGGGGTAACAAGGGTAACAAGGGTAACAAGGGGTAACAAGGGTAACAAGGGGTAACAAGGGTAACAAGGGTAACAAGGGTAACAAGGGGTAACAAGGGTAACAAGGGGTAACAAGGGAACAAGGGTAACAAAGGGTAACAAGGGGTAACAAGGGTAACAAGGGGTAACAAGGGTAACAAGGGTAAAAGGGTAACAAGGGGTAACAAGGGTAACAAGGGTAACAAGGGGTAACAAGGGTAACAAGGGTAACAAGGGGTAACAAAGGGTAACAAGGGGTAACAAGGGTAACAAGGGGTAACAAGGGTAACAAAAGGGGTAACAAGGGTAACAAGGGTAACAAAGGTAACAAGGGGTAACAAGGGGTAACAAGGGTAACAAGGGTAACAAGGGGAAACAAGGGGTAACAAGGGGTAACAAGGGGTAACAAGGGGTAACAAGGGTAACAAGGGGTAACAAGGGTAACAAGGGTAACAAGGGGTAACAAGGGGTAACAAGGGGTAACAAGGGTAACAAGGGGTAACAAGGGTAACAAGGGTAACAAGGGGTAACAAGGGTAACAAGGGGTAACAAGGGTAACAAGGGGTAACAAGGGGTAACAAGGGTAACAAGGGTAACAAGGGTAACAAGGGTAACAAGGGTAACAAGGGTAACAAGGGGTAACAAGGGTAACAAGGGGTAACAAAGGGGTAACAAGGGAACAAGGGGTAACAAGGGTAACAAGGGGTAACAAGGGTAACAAGGGGTAACAAGGGGAACAAGGGGTAACAAGGGTAAAAGGGGTAACAAGGGTAACAAGGGGTAACAAGGGTAACAAGGGGTAACAAGGGTAACAAGGGGTAACAAGGGTAACAAGGGGTAACAAGGGGTAACAAGGGGTAACAAGGGGTAACAAGGGGTAACAAGGGGTAACAAGGGTAACAAGGGGTAACAAGGGGTAACAAGGGGTAACAAGGGTAACAAGGGGTAACAAAGGGTAACAAGGGGTAACAAGGGTAACAAGGGTAACAAGGGGTAACAAGGGTAACAAGGGTAACAAGGGTAACAAGGGTAACAAGGGTAACAAGGGTAACAAGGGGTAACAAGGGGTAACAAGGGTAACAAGGGTAACAAGGGTAACAAGGGTAACAAGGGTAACAAGGGTAACAAGGGTAACAAGGGGTAACAAGGGTAACAAGGGTAACAGGAGGTAACAAGGGGTAACAAGGGTAACAAGGGTAACAAGGGGTAACAAGGTAACAAGGGTAACAAGGGTAACAAGGGGTAACAAAGGGTAACAAGGGTAACAAGGGGTAACAAGGGTAACAAGGGTAACAAGGGTAACAAGGGTAACAAGGGGTAACAAGGGTAACAAGGGGTAACAAGGGGTAACAAAGGGTAACAAAAGGTAACAAGGGTAACAAAAGGGTAACAAGGGTAACAAGGGGTAACAAGGGGTAACAAGGGTAACAGGGTAACAAGGGTAACAAGGGTAAAAAAGGGTAACAAGGGTAACAAGGGTAACAAGGGGTAACAAGGGTAACAAGGGGTAACAAGGGTAACAAGGGTAACAAGGGGTAACAAGGGTAACAAGGGGTAACAAGGGTAACAAGGGGTAACAAGGGGTAACAAGGGTAACAAGGGGTAACAAGGGTAACAAAGGTAACAAGGGGTAACAAGGGTAACAAGGGGTAACAAGGGGTAACAAGGGTAACAAGGGTAACAAGGGTAACAAGGGGTAACAAGGGGTAACAAGGGTAACAAGGGGTAACAAGGGTAACAAGTAACAAGGGGTAACAAGGGGTAACAAGGGTAACAAGGGGTAACAAGGGGTAACAAGGGGTAACAAGGGGTAACAAGGGTAACAAGGGGTAACAAGGGGTAACAAGGGGTAACAAGGGGTAACAAGGGGTAACAAGGGTAACAAGGGTAACAAGGGGTAACAAGGGGTAACAAGGGTAACAAGGGGTAACAAGGGGTAACAAGGGTAACAAGGGGTAACAAGGGTAACAAGGGGTAACAAGGGTAACAAAGGGTAACAAGGGGTAACAAGGGGTAAAAGGGTAACAAGGGGTAACAAAGGGGTAACAAGGGTAACAAGGGTAACAAGGGGTAACAAGGGTAACAAGGGGTAACAAGGGTAACAAGGGGTAACAAGGGTAACAAGGGAAAAAAGGGTAACAAGGGTAAAAAGGGATAACAAGGGGTAACAAGGGTGGAGAAAGGGTAACAAGGGGTAACAAGGGGAACAAGGGGTAAGAGAAACATACAGCAAATAGCGTTAGCACTACAAAAAGAACTACATACGATAAAAACGAAATTAAATACATAACCATCACATATAAATAGGTTCGGGCCGCTGTAAACAACTAACCTAGCTACATGTACCTCTGCTTTGAGCTACAGCACTTGTAGTTCCTCTAAGTCTTCCAGGAGATCTTGATTTCGGATGAACTCCGTTGGGTTTCTTTTCCAGTCTTTGATTATCTCCTACAGCTTCCTCGTTCTGCAATGAAATTAGAGACACGACTAAGTACTACACCCTTTCACTTCCAAAGTGGCAAAAATAGTACCATGTAAAGGTACTGCTGAAGAGATTTCATTTGAATGGTCACACCATCGGATTTTGAACACAAACTCAAAAGTTGAAACTGCATTCGAAATACATAGTACCAAGAGGTACAAGAGGTTTGTTTTGAATTGTCACACGATAGGATTTTGACCACAGATTCTATAATCCTCCTTTGGAGTGGAGGGGTGATGATTTATAATTAAACTCTGTGTAAAGAGGTAAATGATTAAAATAAGGTTTAAAAAATAGCTAGGTAGCAAACATTTGGAGCCAAAAAAACCACTTTTTTTCACTGAACACTGCCCTATGCACTGTTCAAGTAAGATTCCTTAAGAAAGATTGTACAAGATCTTGAATTCCTGAAACAAGATTCACACAAGATTGTTGACATGAAATTGTTATAAGATCCCCTCTAGAATTTCCTTTAACATTCATGCCTGGGTTACCGAGAATCTTGGTGAAATCCCCAAAACGATTTCCATCTAGATTTTTTTACGTTCCTGACAAGATTTTCCGCCAAGAATTTCTCCAAGATCCCCGCCAGGCTTTTCATCAAAATTTCTGCCTTGGATTTCCTCCAAGATTCTCGGCAAGATCCTTGCCGGAATTCTTGCCACAAGATTGTTGCAAGATCTTGTCAGTTTCTTGACACAGATTCTTTCAAGATCTTGTTCTAGATTCTGTGAAAACTTGGATTGCATCGAATTGGACTAAAAATATCCATATTACATTAGATTGATTTGATAGGCATTAAGGAGTGATTTTCGTGGCATCGCAGTCAATTAAATGAAGTTTAAAGAAGACCAGCACATATGTTCTGTGCTACAACTTAGTTGGCACGGTATTGTGTTTTTCTTTGTGGTAATATAACTCAGTGTGCTTTGTTCTGTGTTTGCTTGTAATGGTGCAACTTAGTGCTCATTTTATTGTGTTTGTTTGTGATGATAAACTTAATGCGCTCTGCTCTGTTTTCACCTTTGTGCTATAACTTAGAGCTCTCTATTCTTATTCGTAGGTTACGGCTAGACAAAAATTCAGACCATCTTAGGTGCCTTGATTTTGAAACAGCTAGTAAGATATAACAACTAAACTCTCTACCTTCGCTTTCAATTTGTTCCTCCTTGTTTTCCTTTTGAGCTTGATCTGGAGTGAAGTAGAGTGATTTCCTTCATCCAATATACAATCAATCCACAGATCACTCATCTTTCTGCAAAGAAATCAGAAAAAAGAATAACACTTTCAATCCCAGAATTACCGTAGGTCAAAATTAAACAAGATTTTTAGATTTAATTTTTGTAAAAACTGGTAAACATGCAAATAGAACCATGCAAAAATACTTTTACTACTGTGTAGAACTAAGGTTTGGGAGATGTTTATAAAAATAACGTTTTTGATTCTAACATGCCTGCAATTACAAACGTACCCCATTTGGCTTAGCAAAACATTATTTTCTGTTGCTTAAGTTAATCTCCCTTACAGGAGGAAGTAGAAACTTAGCTGGATAACCCCAAAGGCACAAGTGTTTCCAGAAATGCGTACGTGTTTCATTGAATGAGTAAAAAGTTGAGCTATTTCTAGTGTGACAAAGCGCCCTTGATGAGCTTTCTGGTAGCTGGCAGGGTGAAATGGGTCATAAGGGCAGGTATATATAATTACGTGTTAAGCGGTTTCTGAAAGGTAGAGTACTGTAGCATGTTATGAACAAAATCTTTAAAAAGTAGCATTTGTAGAAACAATATCTGATAATAGTTAATTTTGACTGTTATCTTAAGGCATTCATCCTAAGTATAAATAGCACCAATAAATTCTAGGAGGTTCTTCTTTGGGCCATCCCAAAGGGCAAATTTATCATCAAAAAAGCATTTGTAAAGGCAAAGAAAATTGTCAAGAGTAAAACTCGATACTGTCTCTCTCATGACAATAAATAACCTTTTGATGTCACGCAACATTCTAGCCATTACTTGGATGTGAGGAATGTTACGTGACATCCAAAAAACAGCTGCAAGTGAGACTAGTAAAGGGGGTGCCCATTGGTAACCCAAACATTTGATGGTATATGCCACTGCTAAATTCGGAAATTATTCTCAAACCTTAAGTGGTGTCAACTGAAACCAAGAGAGGTGTTTGAGCCTCACCTTGCCCTCTCTAAACAAGTGGTTAAGAGCAATAATAGCCTACTTTGGGTCATTGTTCGGATAAAGTGATGACACATCCACCCCAACTAGAAGGCAATTAGCAAGTGGCTCAATATTCTCTAAACACTGGATCAGTTCACCCGAGTCACGCAATACAGTAGCCATGTGGATAGATGGTTTAACTAACTCATCCACAATAATGCTGATAGGCCTAGTTATTATAGGAGTGAAAGGCAGTGATGGGCTTCCAAGCCATAGGCAACTTATGAATATAATCTCATGAATAATGTAAAATTTAGCAGGATTGATACTCGTAGGATTATCCTCAAGGCTATGAACAAACTTATAAGCAAATTTGGAGGAAGAAAACTAGAGTACATTTTAACAAGCCCATCTCTGGTCTTTTAATACGGACTCTCTCTAATACGGAGACTAAATCTCAGCGTCAGAGAGTAAATTCATATAAACTTAACCTCTTTATTAAGGCCACTGCGGTGATCAGGTGAATCCCGAATACTGATCAGGTGAATCTTCACAGGGTGAATCCTGTTTGGCTGATGAGCTATACAAGCCCAGTTGCTGTATATCAAACAACGATTCATGAAAGTTTTAAAGAGGAACATAACTGACTTTTTGAAGGCTTGAATAACTACAGATAGCACAGAGATCTTTTCTTCTACATTTTGTACTCTTGTTACTGTTTACTGCACTTGCAAAATAGTGAAAGACGCTTTCAGAATCGTGCTTTACGATACAACTTTTTACTTGCAGCATTGCGCTGTAGCTCATTTTGTTTTAAAACAGTAATTTGTCTACGACTGTACTTACTTTGTAGCTAAGATGTACAATGTTGTATGCTACTGAAAGACAGTGTGTTTGTACCGTGAATCAATAAATTTAACTGCAGTTTAAAGACCAGTGTGAACCAGGTTTTAGCTACTGAACGCTCAAAACTATAAGTGGAGTCATGAAAGTGACATCATCGTAGTGACCTCTTTTATATGGACACCTCTCTAATATGGACACTTTGCTCTGTCCCTTCAGTGTCCGTATTAGACACGTTCGACTATAGTTTCTAGCAATGCACCAAAGATCCAAGGGTTCCTCATCATAAACAAATGCAACGACGATGTTGGAAAGGTCAATCTTTTAGCCATCTTTCTATTGGTTTGCAAGCGAATGAAGCAACAAAACATGATTATTGGCTTTCAGTTGGGGCAAGAGGTTGTTATCCCAAAACTTTCCATGGATCCAAACATCTTTAATTCTGGAAATATGAGTTAATTTTGGAAAAACAAACAAATTGGAATATATTTTGGGTAGACGTTCGATCAAATGCTCAAGGCTGCTGCTTAACAAAATTTTTTGGGAGCCCTTCAGGCTCCTAAAATAAAAGGTTAGGAGCCCGAGCCACATTTCTAGAAGGAAATTAATCATTAACTTTATTAACATGTCAAACTTCTGGCACACGACAAAGGGTGCACTTTATTGGTTCATCAATAAGCTTAAAATTTAACATTTATCCAGCTCAAGGGCTCAAATAGTAGCATAGGTGATAGTAAAGGGTCAGCGAACATTCAAGGGCCAATCTCCATTTCTCTGTACTGGAGAACTTTTTACTGCATTGTATTTTGAGAACAGAATCCTAGAGCAAGGGGACCTTAGCCTAGCTTTAATTAGTTCACCGGAATGACCTTAGCAATAATGCCTGTATCTTAAGTTGACAGTATCGACCAGATCCTCGAAACTTAATTCACGCTTCTTGAAACCTATTTCAGTTCTGGCCCGTCTCCTCGTCCTTCCAATGTTGTTTATCACAGTTAAATCACACCAACATTGGGAGGGCAAGAAGACAACAAAGTGTCCCAACAATTCTACTTGAGACTGTATGTCTCCCTCAAAGCCATTTTTGTCTTGTCACAGAATACTAAGGAGCATTGCATGATGAGACAAAAAGGGAAGAATACCTGAGACTCAAACAGAAAGTGTTAAAACACAAAAATTTGAGTCTCGATTTTCGAGAAAACAGCATTATTTTATAGTCACAACTCGAAAGGATTTCAAGAAAAGATTTATTTCTCCAAAAAAAAAAAAAGATAACAATAACCATCCGCCCCTACAGTGAAAGCACCAACTAACATCACGTACAATATAAGCGAAGTTAAGTTTCAGATTTTAGGTGATAAAAAAGGACCAATGAAAGGTTTTTTATCTTGAAGTTTGGAAAATTGACTCAGTATCTTTGCATCAAGTTTATCAACACTGTTTTTATATTTGTGAAAGTATGTTCATGTAATTTATGTGTGTCACAAGTGATGACGTGAATTAAAAAGAGATTGAAATATGATCTTGAATAGCCACTATCAATCATTTTCAAAAACTGAAATGTTTTTGTGAGCCTTTTAAAAGTTATCAAAAAGCGTAGAGCAAAAAATAGGGAGACACAGAAAACGCTGAATAAATGATAAAAGAAAACTGCGAGTGTGCCATTCGTGTTTGTGGCAAGATAGAAAACACTACAAACTTGCAAAGGTAAAATTAGCATACCGTATGTCACATGTAATTTGAAATCTCTTGCTTTTCTTTGCATTAAGACTTTTTATCAGTTTTTACTACATGCAATAGTGACCTAACATTTTTTACACTGGGGAAAAGGTCATGATTTTAATATCAAAGGTTTTTCTTAGACTACTAAATTCAATCAAGGCCTTTTTCAGACAAGAAACTTCAACTGCACTGCAGTGGAAGTCACAAAACGGAATTTCAAGACAAGTGCTTGTTTGTTTAAGACAGAGTCCATCTGGAAATAGGGTCATTTTAATTTTCAGTGGACAAAAACTTTGTACGAGAATATTTTAAGCCATCTCGCATTCTTTTTGGGTACAGACAACTTCACGCACACTTTTTTTTTTCACCTCAGATCTCTGCTGACCTTGCTACACGACCAGAATATTTTGAATAAGTTTAAATTGTTTGTTAAAAGAGAAATACTGGTAGTTCTGGACTGTTTAAAAAGAGCTTTGTTTTGTTGTTGTTTTATTTCTTAGTAGTAGAGAAGTTGGGCTTCTCTCATAATTTATTCAAAAATTGCTGCTTCAGCAACTCTCACAAGATGAGACTCTCACCTCTTGAGATAAGACGCTTGTCTCTCATAAAGAGGCTCATCTCACGAGAAACTTATACTTTTGAGGGGTACTGTAGTTCCAACTTTACAATTTTTTAAATGAACACTAGTGAGCAGTACAAAGCAATGCAAGTATCTTGTTTTCTTTCTGCAACTGGTTTCGTCTGATCGCACAGACTTCATCAGGGAGTATACCACGATAGAGCTCAGAAACTAAACTTACACCTAATGATTAAGACAAACTCACATTCCTGTAACGGCAATACGTGCAGGACATGACTATAATTCTGTGTTAAAAAATGTGCTCTGTTTAATTTTTGGGCTCACGGATTTAATGTTAAGTCCGTGTGCCCCCAAACATTTTCCATATTTAGCTACGCCAGAAAGACCATGGATTGGGGGCTGTTTATTACGGATATTTTCTGAAATAACTCAGTGAAGGTTCACCATCAAATATTACCTCTTTTTTGTTCTCAACTATTTTGGCAGTCACACAGAAGGTATTCTGATTCACAAGTCTTTTCCAACTCAAGGGTCCATCTTCATTTGCAAAATTTGCATGACAAAATAAATGATGTACACAAATCATTTATCTTGTCTGTACGAGTAGTCATTATCTATCAGATAAGCTTAAAGTAAAAGAGATCTAAAATGGTGGCTCATGATGATTATAGTGTATATTTGTAAACTTTACAGAATTATGATTAACACATGGAATTGGGGAATTCCTTGACAGTTACTTCCTCTTAATCACTTACCCCTGATATCTGCCGAACAGAATGACTGTGGAGCTGAAGAGATCATTGCAGTCGGTCAATCACATGTCGAGGAAAGCTGAAATACAACCACAACTGTAAGTACATCGGTCCGCCATCTTGTCTGTTATGCTTAGCGACCGCTCACTGAGAAAAATAGACCGCTGACCAGTACTCTGGTTATTAGGAGTGGTCACAAATGTTTTACTCGGGGGAGGACCGGGGGAGAGGAAAATGTGCGGACGGAGACGGCAAAAAGCAAAAGAAAAAGGAAGAAGGGTAACCTAAGGAATCAGTATACCCCCCTCTTTAGAGGGTTTACAGCCTATCACCCTTGGGTCTTCCAATTCGATTTCGAATTTCCATTTTTTTACCTTTTTCTCTTTGAAACCCTTCTATAGCTAAAATTTTTTTTGACATTGTTTTACACTTTCCATCCATTAAAATGTTTATTTTCTAGAAATATTATCCTTCCTTTGATTAATGGCCTTTGAGAGTTGTTTTGAAGTGAATGACCTAGGGTAAAATTGTAGAGTAGGTGTGTAGGTGAGACAAAACATAAGACTATAAAATATAGTAGAGGTCATCTCACTCCACCCCCCTCCCTCCCCAACACCACAGCCCTAATCGTACACCTTCTTTTGGACCCACAGCAGCATCTGCAAATTCGAAGTTACTAAAACAAGGAATGTTTTACATTCAGTTACATTGTGCCAAAAAAATGACTCGCAATGATTTACCCCACAATGACCTACGATGACGCTATCATCTTTTTTTAGATACAGGTCATTTTGTTCATGCGTATCGTCTTACGTCCTTGGCAATGTACGGCACCATGGTCCCTTAAGCCTACGTGGCCGCAGGTGTTTAAGGGATAGGAAAAAGGGGGAATTTCAAAAATTCAATTGGCCCCCTTGGAGGATCCCCAATCTCGTCCGCCCAACCTAATTTTATTTCACTCATTATTCTGCCGCAGAAAATCTGGTCCAAGAAAACGTTTCATAGTTTGACTAATGTTAACGAGAAAAACTACCTCTGTAGTATACAAAAGCGAGCAAGAAACGGCCATTCGCGAAGCGAGGACGTGGGACCCACGTTTGCTCGCGCGCGATTTGCTCACCGCGACTCAAGCAACAAGAATGAGAAAACCAGTTGAATGAATATCCTTTCCTGGGAGGTTTTTGACCCTCACTTAGATTAAACTGAGATCTTTTTAAAAGGAAAAATAAAAATTTGCTGGACTTACCTGTCAAGAAGACGCATCCACCAGTCAAATTAAAACGACT